AGAGCTAGAAAGTTACCATACGACCTATACGGTGTTGGTGCGACGTACCCCCACAAAATAATAATAATAATAATATAATTTTTATTAAAAAAAGAATGCCAGTTTTTGTGTGTGTTGTTAAATTGATTTTATTTACATTCAAATTATTAGAAGATTTGTTTTCAAGTACCCTGGCGCATATTGTCGATGTTTTGCGATTCAAACATATTCGGTGGATTTATTATAACAACAAAAACGAGAAATACAGTTTTTTTCTCGATTGCTACAACATTTCTCAAACAATTTTGGAAGGTATATCAACACGTGTCTTGGCGCATTTTTGCGATTCATATATTTTCGGCGCAATAATGGCTCTTTGTAGAAGAAAGAAAGACAGATAAAAGAAAGAAAGAAAGACCAAAAAAGAAAATACACTTCTGTTTCTTTCGTGTTTCGCGATTCAGACAGTTTTAGAAGAATTATTGCCCTTTGTTTATAAAAACCCAGAGAAATACACTTGTTTTATCAACTTCTACTGTATTTCTCAAGCGACTTTGTCTTAATTTACACAGAAGCTTTGTCATCAAGTGTCCTTGTGCAAATTGCCGGAGTCTTATGATTAAAACATTTTTTGCGGAATTATATTGCCCTATTGTTTTTTAAAAAAAACCTGGAAAATACACTTTTGTTCTCAACTCATCAAGAGCCCTGGTGCATATTTCGGTGTTTTGCCAACTTTTTTGGCAGAATTATGGCCCTTTTTCTGCTTTTTTACGTACATGTATATATTATATAGAGAAATACACTTTTTAGTGCAGCTTTTCTTTGATTCTAGAAGTTACTCAAGCTATTACATTAGCATATTTTTGTTATACATCATATAATATCATTGTACGAATACCATAACACTGACCAACATTTTGATTTTTTTTGCATTTTTCAGTATAATAGATTTTTGATTTACGTTAAAAGATATGTTATAGGAGTAAATCACTGTCATTGATAGCTCCAGTTTGATTTCTGTATGTAGATATAATACATGTACATCTGTATGTAGATATAATACATGTACATCTGTATGTAGATATAATACATGTACATCTGTATGTAGATATAATACATGTACATCTGTATGTAGATATAATACATGTACATCTGTATGTAGATATAATACATGTACATCTGTATGTAGATATAATACATGTACATCTGTATGTAGATATAATACATGCACATCTGTATGTAGATATAATACATGTACATCTGTATGTAGATATAATACATGTACATCTGTGTGTAGATATAATACATGTACATCTGTATGTAGATATAATACATGTACATCTGTATGTAGATATAATACATGCACATACAAGTCTAATAAATGATGCATGTATGTATAGTAAATCATAAACAACCAAATGTACAAAGGAAACATAATGACCAAGCATCATAATTATACAACTATAATCTAAAGAATAGATTAGTATTATATATAAAAAAAATTTTTCTTAAATTCTTTTTTTTGTAATAATGTGTGTGTTTGCAGATTTTTATTCTTACAATAACAGTTGTTAAATGGCAGGTTACAGCTGTAAAAGGTGGTCACATACTTAATCTAAACGGCGTTATATATTTTCTGGCCCCGCGGGATCGCATTTGTTGAGGATGAAATAATGCTTATGTCAGTGATTGGGATAAGGGAGTGAGGTAAGTTAATCAAGGACCTCGAACACAATAGTAAGAATAAGCAGAACTGATAGAGTATTTTGGTCTTAACTAAACATGTCTAAGATTTTCCAACATATCGAGTCCACCTAAATTAAGTTTAAAAAAAAACACATACAGATGTGAAAGTAGACATAAGTACATTATTTATAATGAATGTGCCAGCTGATATTTACACAGGTTGTACTGAGGCCAGTATGCTATGGGTTGATGAAAGTTTACTACATATTCTCTAATAAAATAACATACAGCATGTTATAATGATCGAAAACAGAATTCACTGTCTATTTCATTGACCATGTATTGTAGTGACCATACAATATTACATTAAAAAATTTTGCAATGTACTGTTGTAATGTACAATATCTCATTGTCTAAGTACTGTTGTAACCAAACAATACTTCATTGACATGCACTATAAAAATATTAAAGTGTGAAGCACATTTTATTTGTTACTAAACAAATTATTTTATTTTGTGTTAACAGCAATTTTCACTTATTTAATTACATTTCGTGAAAAGAGCACAGTGTAGAAAATACAGGAATACATGAAGAAATTCATAAAATAATGGTTTTGTGTATATCCATGTGAAATTAGTAAATGAATGTGAATTATGGACTGTTTCATTTGAAATACATTTGTAATACATTGTATAATAAAATCGTATAAATCAAGGTTTACAAGACTTGTGCTTGATATTAATAAGTATAAATTAATTTTAACGTGTCTATAATTGCCTACCGCAGACCTAGACGCCCTGGCGCGTAGTTAGAGACTGACCAAACCCTGTTATAAACTCCTGTATAAGTGACCGCAAATTAAGGTAAAAATTGAGACGAAAATATCAGTTTGGAGCCTAAATTACGGTAATCAAGTACGGGCAAAGGAGACAGGAAATCTTTAGGCTAGACCATTTTTCATTCATTGAACGAAAATCTAATATATTTAAAATGTACATTGCATTTATATAAGCAATGGAAGACATGAGATTATAAAACAGAGAAACCGGTCAATGACAGAAACTAAGCTGTACGTGAATAGGAACGTAATATAAACGTTTAGTTATTGTTCTTTGGTATTTTTTTCTGTCAAAATAAAATATTTTCAAATATAAACCCTTGTTTTATTCATAACCTAGAATGAAAATTTAGCGCAAATATGTATTGTGTATGTCACCTCGCGTTTATTTCAGAATTGACATACGAGTAACTATATCTTAGTTTTGATAATAAAAAACGCTAATTTGAATTTGCCGTAGCTTTACAAATATATTAGTTTTGAAATTTGCGTCATCGTTCCTTTTTGAGTTGATATTGGTAGTTGCATCACTTATAATAGTTTACCATCTGTAAACTAATACGCTACGCCTAAATAGATTAGCGGACAATAACCAAACAAATATTTATTTAAAGCCTTGATCAGTAATGGCTCCTACAATTTTAAAATAACAACTATAATCAGAAGAAAAACGTTGTGTCCGCATTGTCGCGTTTTAATCTGGTTCAATAAAAAATCCAATTTTAATTCTTATCATATGGTATCGGCTTTCATTTAATACAACAACAAAAAGATTTTTGTTGATAAATATTTGAGGTTATGACATGCCTTTTCTTTATATTAGACAGTACAGAATACCTAGAGTTTTGATTACATATATAAACAAATTAGTGCTATTGTTGATTCAGTTGCCTCTGGTATTGAAGGACGAAGTAAATGGGAAAATTATTTCTTTTGAATACTTTCATGTGGATGATTCGACAATAAAGCGTGTACAAATAACCTGTAATCGTGTAATTTTTGTTTCAAAAGGATATGAACATTTATGGATTTATAAACTAGGTCTCATCTTTCCAAGATTAAAAAAAAAGTAACATATAATTAGGTTTATTTTCAATAACAATATTGCTGCTTTTATTGAAATTCTAAAATCTTCAATATTTGTTAGATATACTGTTTCATACGTGATAAAAATTTTAATCAAATTGATTTTGCAAATTAAAAAACGAACAAAACAACAACAACAACAACATGTAATATTGACATTGTAAATATATAAATTTATACAATCCATTTAGAAATAAATATCACAGAAATGTTAAAGGGTATATTAATTGTATCAATGTATGAATACTTGGTTGAATCGTTCAATGTACGGGTTTGTTGTGGATTATAAGTGACTTCGTCATCACGTAATTGCAAATGCCATAATATTTTATGAGCGTGTTCTAGTTTTCTAAATTAGCTCAAGATGAGGGCAAATATTTTTACAATGCTACATGAAAATCAGCCAAAATAACAATTCATATATCAAACAGATAAAAGAACCATGACTGAATAAATAGATGAAGCTAAAAGAAATATTGCGAATGTAAAAAAAAGTTGTTGGAGAAATGCATTGGTTAATTTGCAAATAATTGTAATATATATATACCATGTAGATAATTTTCAAAACTGTTTTACTATTTAAACAAAATTTTCTTGCAATTATATGCTGGTGATGGTCTTCGATACAGAGGTAGTGATGATGATTAATATGATAATAAGGAAAAAGACAGCCATGCCTTCTATCATCATCATCATCATCATCATCATCATCATCATCATCATCATCATATTATTATTATTATTATTATTATTATTATTATTATTATTATTATTATTAATATTATTAAAAACACTGTTATCATGATAAAAACCAAAGAAATCGATCTGCTGTATATTTTTTTTTATAAAAGTATATGTATTATAAAAGCCCAGTAAGTGGATGGAATAGAAACGAGAATAGTTCGTGCCGGTATAGAAGCGTTGCAACTTTGGGGGGGGGGGGGGGGTTCATGCAAGAACTATTACGTTTCCCGATTAAGTACCATAAAATTGCTGCCGTCTGCAAACTTCATGAATGAAAGCCATACTACTATTTATCTTTTATAGTTAGCGTGCTGTCCATAGATATCCACGCAATGAAACAAAGAAAATTGTTAGGAAATTATTACACGAACGTTAAAGTGGATGTCTAGAAATGACCTATAATTATTTTTTTTAATTTAAGTTCTTTACTAATAATTGTTTTCCTATATTTTTCCCAATGTTTGTATTGTTATAAATTACCTAATTTAGATGAATTAAAAAAGTAATTTAATTTTACAAAAGTCTTGTGGTAGACATAAAAGAAAAGTATTGAATATAATCAAATTCATGTGGGCTACTTTGTGTAGAAATTCTTACATGAAGACAGTAATTATAGACGTCACATCATTTGTTATAATCTAGAATCGTGGATGCCTTTAGCTTTACTGTTGGCAACTAAACTCTCGTCTGCTGTATAATACCAACCACTATCTGTCTAATATCTCTCACAACGTTTATGTTTCTCTTGGCGATGTTTGAATAACGAAATAGCAGTTATTGGAGTTAAGTGTACAAAGCACATGGAATTAGTAGCAGTAGAGAAATAAATAATTTTTAATTTGCTTTCAGGTCCTATTTCAAATGAAGGCTGACTGGAAACCAATGATGTACAGTTTAAGATATATTACAGGAATAATGCTTGCCGGAGATTGAAATTAGTGGAATAACTGAACGATATATATACTCAATGGAATTAATTAGTGAAAGTGTCCGGCTTACAGAATGAATGTCGTGGATTGGAGAATATTTAGGATTAAATGTTATTTAATACTATGCTGTTTTCTTCAAAATATTTGTTTAGGTAAGTCGAATTTTTAAGATATTAAATCACAAGTGTACGTGAAATATAATTAGATGAATGAGAAATGTTCTGCTCAAAGGCACAATATAACTCAGAAAAATGCAAAGTGCTCCATTATTTCAATTTTATTATGCATTATTTCATTGCTATCTTCCATAATGTTTTAATGTTATACAAATATCGATATGATTTACCGACCGTCTGAGAATATAATTTAATAAACATATTTAAATTATATAAAATTTGCGTAATGATATAATAATTTAGTAATCATATATAACTAATGATGTTTTGTTATTATTATAGATGACTGTATATATTTTTGCTTCGTTTTGTTATGTTTCGTTTTGTATGTTTGTTATTTGGGGGAGTGGTGGGGATGGGGTTGTGGGAGTGGTAAACTTATTTTATTTTTTTTAATTAATATTGATGTTATATGTATTTTGAGCATTCTACTGTACAATATATACAATACATAGCTACGTTTATTTGAATTACATTACCCATTACATTTAGAATATGTTGGTTAGTAGATTACAACAGTTGTGCAACAGTAAATTATTATAATAAAAACTGTAAATGAGGAGAGAAGTAAAGCGAAATATAAGTGTATCATGTCTGCTGTGGTATATCTCTAAATCAGATGATGCTCACTATGATTCCGGACAGGGGTTTATTATATCTCTAAATCAGATGATGCTCACTATGATTCCGGACAGGGGTTTATTATATCTCTAAATCAGATGATGCTCACTATGATTCCGGACAGGGGTTTATTATATCTCTAAATCAGATGATGCTTACTATGATTCCGGACAGGGGTTTATTATATCTATAAATCAGATGATGCTCGCTATGATTCCGGACAGGGGTTTATTATATCTATAAATCAGATGATGCTCGCTATGATTCCGGACAGGGGTTTATTATATCTCTAAATCAGATGATGCTCACTATGATTCCGGACAGGGGTTTATTATATCTATAAATCAGATGATGCTCACTATGATTCCGGACAGGGGTTTATTATATCTCTAAATCAGATGATGCTCACTATGATTCCGGACAGGGGTTTATTATATCTCTAAATCAGATGATGCTCACTATGATTCCGGACAGGGGTTTATTATATCTCTAAATCAGATGATGCTCACTATGATTCCGGACAGGGGTTTATTATATCTCTAAATCAGATGATGCTCACTATGATTCCGGACAGGGGTTTATTATATCTCTAAATCAGATGATGCTCACTATGATTCCGGACAGGGGTTTATTATATCTCTAAATCAGATGATGCTCACTATGATTCCGGACAGGGGTTTATTATATCTCTAAATCAGATGATGCTCACTATGATTCCGGACAGGGGTTTATTATATCTCTAAATCAGATGATGCTCACTATGATTCCGGACAGGGGTTTATTTTGTGCTTATTAATTCAAAGCACTTTAGAGGATTTCTTGAGATTTTGATCAAACACTTATGATTTCACTCATTGATCCCGAAACTGAAGCAGCTATCTGCCAGCTATAAGCCAGCGATTTCAATAAGTTTCAAAGAACTTATATATATCGTAATTTTCATATAATTAAGTTAGGAATGACAAAAAAGTCATAAACAAATAGATATATGTTAAAAACAAGGCTATCATTATCTCAGAATGAACTTTAACAACCACAAAATGTCATTTCTACAAAGACAAATAGAGAGAGTGGGTCGGACTGAAAGAAAAATAGATAGCCTTGTGGACGTCCAGAAAGTCTGACGATAAACGGACGGACGAACAAATTGACAAATTGATACAGACAGTAATTTTTGCAAGATGTACTATTGTATCGAAATATTGTTATCTTTTCGTCATGCGTTTGTTCATGCAATTAATCTTCTATTATCATCCAAAAACAATCTGGTATCAGATAATTTAGGATCTCTATCAGACAAAAAGCAAATAGTTATCCGGATACATCTCTTTTTGAAAATTTTGGAACCTCGTTCGGGAAAAAACATCGAAAAGAGATCTCGGGAACCTCTATACGGCAACCGTTAAGAATGCTGCAACCCTTAGTGCTCTATTTGAAAGGATCCTTACAGGGTGTAACTGGAGTGAACTGGGTCTAAATTATGTATCAATACTTCCACAATATCATATGCTTTCTTGTGGTATCTAATGACCTCTGAGATTCTGACTTCTTATTTATTCCTTGTCCAACTGTCCCAGTATATCTTCGTACATGAGTTTGTTATTTCAAGTCCTTGGTAATGATTTGGTAGACAATAATATATCTTACTCTTTTAGTCTTTTAATGCTGTTTAAAATTCTTATGTTGAGAAGTTGTAATATGTTAAAATTATATAGACCGGAAACACATGTAACGTAAATGACTGGAATACTGTCTAGCCGGCACTTAACACGACTAAACAAACAAACAAAGCAATTTACATACACGAATAGTGTTGTCGGGTAAAATATACATTACATAATAACACATCAACGTTACTTTGTCTTACATGTTAATTATGACGTTGTTACGTGAACAAACACTCAGACATACGAGCGTAATGCGACATTAATAACTTGCCAGTTCTACGGCATACTTTAACCCTAATCAACACAAGTCTTTGTTATGTTAACTAATAACACGTGTATAGATCTCCTAACTACTTATTATTCCATCAGTATAATCAGTTTTTCTGTGTCTTCTTGACATTTTTCCTAAGTATTCTCTTAAAACTCGACTTTTACTTAAACCTTTTTATCATACATGTGGCAAATAGACTGTAAAAACATCGTAAAATATGCATTGCAGCATCCGCTCGTCGTGGAAATTATCTGAACTTATATCACAGATCTGTAGTAGATTGATAATGTAACATTTATACTATGCATCTTGATATATAAGTTTTACCAGTGCTGATTTTAATAAATAAAAATCTCGTAAAGCTTAACTAAATTTTTAGATTACATAATATTGAATTTCTTCTGTAAGTTTAAGTAAGGTATCTCAATGCCACAAAATAACATGTATTAGTAGTCTACTGACAAACCGGCATGTTTGGTTATTTGTGTCAGGACAAAACAAGTTCAAGTTATACCGATGGCAAAGTGCAACATAAATCAACACTTAAACTTGAATAAATAAATGAATAAATAAATAAATAAAATAAATAAAATAAATAAAATAAATAAAATAAATAAATAAATAAATAAATTATTACAGTCTCCTCGTCAATCGCAACTTCTCGGCCCTATCTGTCTGTCAGATAAGGACCTCGAACACAATAGTAAGAATACACAGAACGGATACGGTATTTCGGTTTAACCTACGCTAAAAAACAAATAGTAATCTAATGACTATTCGAATGTATCGATTAAAAGTCAACCTAAATTAAGTAAATTTAGAAATATAAAAGTAAACAGTACAATATTTATATATAAAAACAATAATAACAAAAAACCACTACCACCACCACCAACACCAACAACAACAACAGCAGCAAGTATTATGTGTGTGCGATTGTTGCGTGCGTGTTTGTTTTATCATTATTAACTTTGATTTTAAAAGTTAATTCAATGTATAACATTGGCTAATAGTTCCAAAGAACTACTTTGTATCACGGTGTAATCGGTGAGTGTTAAATTTTTAAACTTCTTTAATAAACTTTTACTCACGAATACTTTGGAGTATACTTGTCTAAAGAATATGTTTAAAATACTGTTCTCGTGTAATGATGTTATTTGCAAAACATTATAAATTATAGCATTCTTCCACTCTGGCGACAGCAGATAATGAGAACTTAAGTGCAGTGCCCAATTTTATGTGAACAAATTCTAGAATACTTAAACAGCATGATTATATGTCATTGTATATTTATGACATTTACCCTTCAAATGCGAGCAACAATAATGACTTGCATATAACACTAATATAAAACCAGGCCAGTTTAAACATTAGTATATAAGCAACTTATTGGCAAATAAAACGAAGCTGATTGACCCTATTTTATTTTTTTATCATTTTATATTATTATTATTATTATTTTAGAAAATTGGTTAGAATTTAAAAATTAAAGAGACGGCATTTATAGCAAACGACAATTTTCTCTGTTAAAAAAATCATTTTTTACCCTTCAAATTCAACTAACAATTATTTGGAAACAAATATGTGAAATAATTTGAGCGTCCTGTAATGTCATTCTCAAGTATTCAATATTCATCACATGTTCGCTAAACATGCCATAAAAATGCACGTGTTTTCGTCCGGGAAATAAGCATATTTTATCAATTTTGTGTGACGTTGGATAATTGATATATTATGTTTTGACATTTGTAGGGCTCCACGGCAAGACTTATTTTTCTAGGTCATATGTATGTTCATGTTTATCATATAATTTATTTAAAACTCCCCGATTGGTTTAAACACAACCGTTTTGCTCCATTAGAACATGCACGTTGTCTTCTAAAATTCAAAGATAGAAGAACTGACTGGCATTTTTTGTTTGTTTATTTATGATGCACAACTCTGTTAACCATTAACAGATATATCATACAGTAACAATATTAATAAAGAATTAAATTATTGATGTAGTGGGAACATATTATATTGATTTCGTCAATGTCATTTACGGTCTTACAAAAATTTGTGAAATTTATAACATAAATGCTGTATATAACGAACCGAGCTAAAAGACATTAAACTAAAATGTGTGTGTGTGTGTGTGGGGGGGGGGGGGGGGGCAACCAACTGATTTATCACTAAGGTTTATTACTCGGCGTAATTATATTATATTTAAGTAGAAGGTATATTCCAAAAATAATCAAATTACAAAATATCTTAGGTCCAGTTTTTACTGAAAATGTAACATTTTGACACCGAACAGACAAACGTTTGAATGATGGAAAGAATTTGTTATTGACAAAGTTATGCTTATGAGTATGTGTTAGATGAACTTATACCTTGTACTCGTTGTAAGCATATAACTGTTTTACTGATTAAGC